ACTGGAACAACATGCTTGCTTTTATTCTCAACCTAATTCTCACTGCATCCTAATAGGCCAAGCAGTCACGGTATGTGTGATGAACAACTCCTGCATTTCTTAAAAACGTGTAGAAACTGATGGACATAAACAGAGAAAGCTCCTGCACCAAAATGAAAAACTTGGTGCAATGGATGTAAAAAGTGATTCAGCTCCATATCCCTCTTCAGTCAAATGTATATTACTATTTATTTTTTTTTCCTCTGGAATAATTTGTGAACTTACCTGGGCTTTTATTAAGGGGAGGAAGAGGTATGATCTGCATGTGCAGAAAACCACTTCAGTAACTGATCCCTGGTCATTTTAAGCACATTGTCTCTCTTGCTGGGATGAATTTTCCTCCCCTAAACTTCAGAAATGCTAGGAAGTTAAATCTGTTTGACACATTATGAAGACAAGAAGGAGATTATCCCCTGAACCCTCTATCAAAATCCCATAGACTACCATGAGATGTGATACTAGAGTAGGAAGTCTGAAATTGGGATGAAAATCTGTTTTATTCCTGGTGATAATGAGTTCTGCTACTTTCCTGCTCTCAGTCTAGGGAAAAAAAAAATAAGATGTTATCAGTACTGAGGAAATCTTATTAGATTCAACCCCATTTTAAACAGCTAGGACCAAAATCTTCATTCAGACACACTGGTGACACCCCATTAAATTCCAGCAGTGGCACCACTGGTAGAGAAAAATGGCACTCAGATTTTTCACCATTAAGTAATCTGTTTTCATTACCTTCTCAGCAGTTTGTTTCATTTGCCTGCAGTAGGGAAAGTAAAATTAGAAAACATTTCATGTTCATAGTTAGTTTGCTTTGACATGAAAAAAACAAGTCTATAAATTTGCCTATTGGGTTATGCCTTGTGCAGTTCTCTTGTAAAGTTGTCTTTACATTATAGTGATGAACTGTAAATGGTGTAGTGCATTATTTTGTCCAAAGTAATTCAAATTAATGATCCTAGAAATATTATTTGAGGTGTCTATGTTATAAAGCATTGCCAATAGTCATGACTATTACCAGCAGAATTTCTATTCTCCTTTGTAATGTATGCATTGCCATGTGATAATAAACTATTTTACAATCATGTTCAGAACCTGCAGTCTTTTGCTGGAGTTTCACATGTGAGTCTTGTATCAGTTCTGGTAGTAAATGAGTGGCAGGTAAATACTGATAGCAAACTATCAAAAGTCTGAATGTTTTGTTCTTGCCTTGACTTGCGTACTTAAATTTTCATTTCACATTACCTAAAGTAATACTGATTCTGACTGAAAATAGAAGAAAAAAAAAACTCAACCCATGTAACTCAAAATGCAGTGATCTCCTAGGCTCTTCAGCTTGTAACTGTGAGAATGACATTAGCTTAAAAACTCTAAAAATTACCTGTTAGTTTCATTCACATGAAACTTCAAAAAAAGGAAGAAGAAAAAATGTATAACACTCTTGTAGTTTAGACAAATGTTACTCTGGATGCTAAAACCAGACTTGGTTCTCATGAATGAAAGGAAACTGTATTTTTTCGCATTCTACTGGCTCATGTCATTCTTGCTAAGAAAGCGTTAAGCTTTACCAACCACAGAGAACAATATTATGAAATTATAAAAAAATCCACAAAGTTCATCATCAGTTGGATGGCACCAGAATTAACACACATTTGGAAAACATGCCATCATAGTGGTATCCAGAGGCACTCTTAAGAATCTTAGAGATCAGAGGAGGAGATGAAATGATTTGAGCTTCATATGAACATCTCATGAATAAATACTGATGCCAGGACCACTTCCAAGGAAAAGCAGACTGAGTGTGAAATCAGAAAAGCATTAAAGCAGCTTCTGGATTTCAAAAAGAGAGGTCTAAAGAGTAAGCTTTTCTGTTAAGCAATATGAAAAAAAAAACCACAAAACTCTATTATGGCAATGATGCAAGTGAATCCGTATTTTTTTTTTTTTTTGAGTTCTCATAGACCTGCTGTGCTTCACGTTGTCTTGGAGAAGTCTTCTAGCTCATACAATTGCTTTCATAATAAGGCTGGCCAATGAGTAGAAACAGTAACTTTGCGCGCACTTGCACCTATCTTTCTTTTTTCCTAGAACTCATTTTCTGTTCTAACTACTTTTTAAATTCCTTTAAGAACTTTTCAACCTTTCTGACAAATTATTACAGTCCAATCAGCACTAAACATACATTTGCTTAGTTTTAAAGGTCATTCAATAGTCACACACCAAACTATCTTTAAAGGTAAAGCAGAGCTTGAAAACATCTGAAATCTATTTCCTCAGATGACATTTGCCTAGAAATGCTATGCAAAATTTAAATTATTTTTAATATCAGGCACACCCTTCTAATTTCTTAGAGGCAGTGAGATATTTAACACTCACAAGGAACTTTCCTCACTGCAGGCAAATAACACAAATCCAACTTACTGGCTATACTAAAAATACAACCAAAGGAAATACACTGCAACTTGCTGCAGAGTGTGTGTTCATGTGCCAAAACTATGGAAACCTGTCATTCTTTCTGTCCTAGGTGAGCAGTTAATTTCAGATTTGGTCACGCTTCTGCATCACAGGATCACTGATAAGGAGGTGCAGAATAATCTGACAGTGGCAGGCAAAATGCTGTATTGTAAAAATAACAGACGAATCTTCTGTCTGTGGCTCATTAACAAGACACACAGGCCAGGCCTACACTGATCATTCAAAATAAACCTGACACAAACTGGAGGTTAGCAGCTGTATCTATCTTGGCCAAAACATAGACAGCAGAGTATCAGCCTTTTTAAGGTAACAGGACATCAGTTTGAGCAAAATTACAAGTCACAGTGTTAAAGAAGGACCTCAGTTTGGGATTTAGTCGTTTTATAAAAGTTAATAGCCAAAGATGAACATTAAAAGCTAAAATAAAAAAAACTAAACTGCAATCACTTCATGATGTCTACAGGGAATACCATCTTTGACTTCATGGAGAAGAAAGAGTTGGAAGATGGTTTTAAAGAAGCTTTAAAGATGCTTAAATATTTTAATATAGATGGAATATTGCCAAGCTGTGGAAACATTCTCTTTCAGAAACAGTACACTACAAAAACGCAAAGAAACATACTGAGAGACCACTAGTGAGCAGTTATAAACTAAGGCCAAGCACGTGCTTTGGTTTTACATGGAACAAATAGTTCCTCTGTCCCTAAGGAAAACTCAGAATAGAAAAAGGTAAGCAAGAATTTGAGGCCTTGCAGGTCTGGAATTTTATGAAATAAAAAAAGGAAACAGGGATTAACAAATTAACAAATGCAATAAACTTGCATTTGTAAGTTTAAAACCAACCAAGCCAACAAATACCTCCCTCCCCCAAACTACTAAGGAAATAATAACAGATCACTAAGACAGATCAACCCATAAGTTAACTATAAAATATCAAAAAATGTGGAACTTCTAGGGATCTGAAGAACACATAATGTCATACTACCAATAATGATGAATTTCAATGCTTGTAGATCCCAAAGCTGAAGATATAGGCAAGAGATGAATTTCTGCCCACAGAATAACTTAATACAGACTTACTGTAAATACTGCAGTGAGAAATTAGTCCCATGGAACCAAAAAATAGTAGTATGCTTGTATGAAAATAATGTTGTTGGACAAGCTGCTGTCACAGAAAATATGCAGCATTCTTCATTTGACCCAGTTTCCTTTTGGAAATTATTTAACCTTTTAAAATTACTGAATATTTCAAGCATTAAAATTGAGAAACAGAATTTTTATGACACTTAATAGTTTTATGTTAGGCAAGTACAGTGACTATTGACCATTACCACTTAAAATAGGACAGAATGAAATATTGCAACACAACCATCTACTTCCCCAAAATATTCGGATAGCAACCACAGTCCTCAAGGACACTAACAGACTGTACCCACCACTGTAAACTTCATCTCAGTCATAACACTCATTTGCTTCTTCAGACTCCCCAAAAGCCTATCAAACAAGTGAAAACTTCAAGTACATCTACCATTTTGGTATATAATGAAGATGATCTGAACTGCTACCAAAGAAACCCCAAGATTTTTTCATATAAAATACGAAGTCTCTGCAAATACTGTTAATTTGCTGTCAATTACTACAGAATAGTTTTTCTTCTGTTGCTGCTCAGTTTGTTAATGTATCTGTCAGCTATGGTTATCTGCATTCTCAAGAGTCTACTTTTAAGTGGACTGAAACGTACCAAAACAGAAATAGCTGTACAGTCAGATAGTCCAGAATGACATCGCTTACCCAAGAATATATCAGATGCTCACAGAAAAGCACAAAGAAGAATCTACTGATAGTTACAGACTTAGCCATGCACTGAAATACGAGAATTCACCCTTGCCAAAAGGTGTTTTTGTTCTTACATGAAAATCTAATTTCTCAAATCCTGTACCCTGCTCTGCTTAGGGTGTGCTTCCCTTCCTTAAAAGTGTAATCCACAGGGAATCTTGAATATGTTCCTAGAATTTTATTTTTTCCAATATTCAAGATTGTCTTAACAAACTGCTTACAACTTTAAAAAAAGCAACCAACCAACCCACAAACCAGAAAAAATAAATATAAGAAACAACCCTTTGCACAACTTGGTGCTTCCCCCCTTTCCACCTTCCCTCCAGCAACGTATAGCAACATCTTTTGCCTCCCTGCTGGACAATGACTTCTTAGCATTTATTTTTTCGCTACCAAAACTTTTTAAAGTAGAAAAAATCAGGTACAACTAAAAAAATACACATATACGCACACTCAAACACATGCTTTCAAATTCTTGCAGACTGGTGTACCGCATGGACATGTAATTTCTTCTCTGAAGTCAACAGACTGTGTATAAAGCCCATCAAGACAACTCTGCTTTCTTGTTGAAAAATTAGCTTTTGCTTACTATTTGATCATACCAACCGTTAATAGGAGGATATTCTCATTTTGCAAAGTTAAAGAGCAGACACTTCAAGTTTCAGATGTTTATTAGGCCTCATCAAAAACTTTCAAACACATGATTAAGTGCAGTGTGAGGCAAGTTTGATTATTTCCAGGATGATAAAGCATGACAATTGTGCGGATGACTTTTGGAAGACCTTTCTGTGCAGCTTATGGAGATGAGTGTGCTGTTCAGAAGTCAGGACGGTCCTTTTTCAGTCTACTGTAGTCTACGTTAACTGAGTAGAACTAGGAAAGAGAGGGGGGGAAAAAATGAGTATCCATTTTCCATAGTATTTACTAAAAAACATACGTAATTTGAACTCATGTCAGGAAGCTGAAATCACAGTTTGAGTCTGGACACTAAACCTTTGAGGAGCAGTAACATTTTAATACTATCTTCATTCTGCATACAGTACTAGAAGCTCTGCATTTAAAATGAGGCAGTGCTTGTGTCTACAACTAGAGAAAACCCTGTATATCTCTTGTTTAAACCCAAGAATTAAAAGTGCATTCACAGGAAGTTCTTACAGTAGCGCTGAGTTTATCTTTTTTGCCCCAAAATCTATGTGTTTCTGTATACTGAAGCACCACCTTGCTTGCCAAGTGGCACAAAGCATGGTGTACACAATGAGATCACAAGTGAACATTTTAGAGCACTCCTGCAAAAGTTTGGTTAAAGTATCTGCATCCAGAACTGTAAGATATGACAAGGAGGAAGGAAAGTAAGAATAGATCCTTTCACACTCTCAGTTTACATTAATAAAGTTGGATCCCATTATAAGCAATTCAAAACAGCCCAAGCAATCAGTGAGGACAATGAGTCTCCAGACTAGAAGCATATTTTGGCATCCCAGACTGACTTGACATCAGCCATGTGACGCTTCAGCTTTTCTTTAAGAATAACGAAATATTTGTCTATTAGCTTATTTTTAGTTATGACCAAATGTAGTATTTCTTTTTACTTCCTCAGAGAAAACAAAACAGCCTCCAGCACACTCAAATTAAACCTTTCTGTAAAAATCCTACAGTAATGATCAGATCTTCAACTGTTTGGGAAGACTGAGGAAGTTGACACACCTCCTTAGTCTTTTCTGTAAACTTGAGAGAAGTTTACAAAAGAAAAAACAACTGCACCAAGCATTAAAACTTATATCACAGCTTTTTACTCAACAGTCATCCTCAGTTTAAGAGTATCTGCTTTTCCATTTCCCACAGTGCAGATATGGAAGAAAAAAATCACCAATGATACACACACACCCAAATATGGTAAACCGCAAGGTTGTGTTTGCATGCTAAGAGAGAAGAGGAATGCTACGCAAGGCATTCACACTTTAAGAGAATTTGTGCTGCACCAAGTTAAATTTGCCTCTTTTAGACACTTAAGAAACAGTAACATTCCAGAAACAGCAATGAAAACAAAGTATTGTGTTCCCCTGGACCTTGAGGGGAGTCACAACATACTTTATTTTGGAGAGTGGGGCTTTTTTGCTTATTTCAGCAGTTGGAATGGTAACCAGACACTAGCTTTGAAAACATTGTAGGTTTATTTTTTTAATAGCTTAAAGATAATCCTTAACTATTCTTAACAGGAACCTAGTAAAATAGCACTTTAGTAAAAACGTAATAAAACCATAATTTCTGCAAACTACCAAATGTTTTACACATCTTTGCTTGCTTCTTCATTAGTTCACGGAAATAACTTGATTACTTAAAGAACACTGCTACTACATCCAGTTACTTACAGACAAGTGTTTTGTTTCCAAACAGTCAACTGTAGAACTGAATTAGTATTTATGTTACAGACTGACATTTTCCTGCTGTGCTTCTCATGAGTAAAGGCCAACAGTTTAAAGCTTAGAAAGCTTTAGTTCAGAACTTACACAGTTTTGTCCTTCTCCCTGTAGTTTATTTCTGAGTATTATGAGCTGATATATTCTTCCTCTCACATATGATTCCTCTTTTTCTCCGAGTGTAATATATACGACTGCTTCCATACAGAATTCTTTCAACCCATTACCAACCAACTCTAGAAAAATTTTAATTCTCAACCCAGCGCTCTCTGCTTGGAGTTCTAAAGACAAGCAAACATTGCACAGCAGAGGAAATACATTACTCATTCAGCTACTTCCCAATATACTCAAACATCTCAAAGCAGTGATTTTATGTATCTTAAAGCAGTGATTTTATGTTTACCTTGTACTGATCACTGGGAGCCAGCTTGTTCCAAGGTTCTGGATTATTTGTCTTGTCCCAGCTATTGAGAAATATAAGATAGGAGAATATATTAAGAAAAATCAAACTACCTTCAAAATAAATAAAATTCATATGTGGTTATTAGGCCATGAAGTGTAACCCATCCAAGTACATTTACAAGTACCTTTGTTAGCAGTCTCTAAATATCATACGATAAACAAACAAATCTTCCGATCAAGGAAATATCCTCACACTTAGTGCCAGTGATACTGGAGCAAGACATTAAGGCCTCCAGAAACATAAAAACCAAAGCAGTGAAGTTTACTTTAATATATGCAGCAAATGGACTGGGCACTGTGAATTATTTTATACATACCAGACATCAGGGTTGAACATTGCCAAACGCATAAGATACAGGCCTGCGCCAACGCCTCCAGATCCAATGATCAAAAACAGAGGGATCAACTGTAAGAAAAAAAACAAAAATGTTACACGAGAATATAACAAATAGTATTATTACCTAGCATTTCTAGCTAGCACAGTGACAAACCAAAGAGCAAGCTCACATACTTTGCGCCGTAATGCCCAGCCCTCTAAACCCCTTCCTGTGTGCAGGATATGCCTGGGGTCAGGGAGATTAGCAGCTATGAAGAGGGAGACACGGAAAACATACTGCTACATGCAGGACAACCAAACGTGCTGTAACAGCACATTCCACTGTCCAAAACAGTCCCTACTATTAAATCCCTGATCATAAAGAAATCGCGAGTGGGGGAGTGTAAGGAATGAGGCGAGCAGGATCAGTGACAGAGCCACCTTGACCGTCGCTGCTGCATTACGAGAAGGACCCACATATACTACAAAAAGAGAAGGACGTGCCGGTGCCTCCCGGACGAGCCCTGAGCTGCCCCCACGCCGTCAGTCCCGGCCAGCCGGAGGGGGCAAGCATCCAGAGGGAAAGGAGATGGACAAACGTGGAGAAGGGCGGCCGAAGGGCCGAGGGCAACGACCGCCGCCGGGGCGGGAGAGCGCAGGGCGGGGAGGGCGGCCCGCCGGGACACTGCCGCCGGGCACTCACGCTGGGGTGCTTCTTGGCGTGGCTGATGATAACGCGAAACATGGCGGCAGCAGGCGAAGATCTCCCTTTCTACCAGACTCCAGAACCCGTCCTCCCCTACAGCTGCCGAGGCCCAATGTCACCCGAGGCCCCCGGCACAGCAGGTGCCCGCAGCTGCAGCCCGGATGTAGCAGCTTCGGCGTTCGCCTGCCCGCCACCCGCCGCGGCATCCCTGGCCCGCGCTCTCCGCGGCAGCCCTCTCCGACACTGCCAGCACTCCGGGCTCCGCAGCTCCTGTGCTAGCGGGCCCCCGGCCGGCAAAGCGCGCGGAGAACAGGCACCTGCAGGGGCACCCCAAACCCTCTGCAGGGCACTGAGCAGGCGCCACCGCCCAGCAGCGTCCCGCCGCTTCCCCCCGCCCGCTGTGAGGGCGGTGCGGTGCCCGCAGGCAAATCACGAATGGGAGTTGGGCGTTGGGAGGTTCCAGCAGCCGGTCCTTCAGGGCCGCACGCCTCCCGTTTGCTTCCCCTCATGCCGCCTTCTAGCCTCTGCCACGAAGCCGGGGGCCAGGAGCTGCCGCAGCCTTCCCGCTCGGCAGCTGCCCTCTGCTCTGTGGTAACCGGACGGCTTTGAAGGTGCGCGGCGGTGTGTGGGTGACCAGGTGTTCACCCGTGTTCGCCTCCTCCGCTCTAAGGTAAATCTCACTGTGGAGGTCTGTCTCTGCCATCACGCGGGTTAAAGGCTAAGGTGGTGGTTAAACGTGAGGCAGGAGTTAGGGTTTTGTTGTCTTGAAAAACATAAAAAGAGTGAAATGAATCATAAAACCGCCAAGTTAATTACTATTGTATAGTCAGGGTGGCAAAAGTTGGCTGCATGTGCAGCCCTGTGAGAGACCTTTGGTATTCATATTCAGTGTACAGATGATAACACAATGAAAAACTTGTCTTTGGCAGAGAGGTTTGTAAGGAAGTCTTTCATACTTTGGCCAAGGTTGGCTTGGGATTTGTCATTCATTAGGTAAGAAAGCCAACAGGCTGTTGGGTTACATCATCAAGGGCATCACCAGCAGAGGTAAAGACGTCATTGTCCCACTCAGGCGCTTGTCAGGCCACACCTGGAATACTGTGTTCAGTTTGGGTTCTTGTGGTACAAAAAAGACTTGGACAGCCTGGAGAGGGTCCAGAGAAGGGCCACAAAGATGATGGAAGGACTGGGAAGCTGCATGAGGAAAGGAGGAGAGAACTGGGTTTGTTTGGCCTTGAAAAAAGATGGCTCAGGGGAGACCTTATCACCATGTTCCAGTAGTTAAAGGTGGAGACTTTCTTTCTACAAGTGTTTACATGGAAAAGGGGTAATGGGCACAAGTTAGTCCCAGGGAGATTCCAACTGGACACAAGAGGAAAATTTTTCACAATGAGAACAATCAGGCATTGGAATAAACTCCCTAGGGAAGTGGTGGACTTCCAAACAATGAACACTTAAGATTCGGCTGGACAGGGTGCTGGGACATCTAGTCTAGGTCATGCTTTGCCTATAAAAGTTGGATCACATGGTCCTTGAGGCCCCTTCCAACTTGCTATTCCATGATTTATGAATTCTAAATCAACAGGGCCACTTACTGTATAACAGTGTGTCTGAGTGCTGCCCTAGTTTGTTCTACATTGCTATACATCTTATTTTATACAGAACTGGGAACCTAAAGCCTATCTTTGGCTAGGATCGATCACCAGCTACTTTGATGCATGATTTCCTTTACAAAAGGTAACCCAAAAGGTATGTTTGCATCCAGTCATTAAGAAATTAATTTTTAAGTAGAGGGAATGTCAGCATGCTGCTAATCTAAGACAAACAGTCCTTTTCCCAGGATAGAAGCAGAATAGCGTTACATGCATGTTAATGGTTTGGGTGGATTTATATCAAAGTAAAATTTAGTGGTAAAGAATAATGAAGTGGCAGAGAATAAATGTATTTAAGCAAACTGATGTCTTTTATTTCATTTGCCAGTTCACAGACTGGCTTATGCTTATTTTCAAGAATTGTCTCAAATTGTCCCTGTCACAACAAATAAAAAAAAAAATCATATACTTTACTTATTCCATAATCAAACCTCATGGCATCTTGACTGTGGATCCATGGTAGAAGTACTGGCATGCTTGTGTTCTTGAACCGTCCTGCAGTTACATAAATTGTATGTATTAATTTATAGTAATGCTGTCGATGTATTGGACATACTTGAAGACTAAGAATTTTCTATTGTCAAGGATCCGTCCATTCCCTTAATGGGAGTGAACATTTTACCACTCTTTTATCTGTCGCTTAGCTACTCAAGCTAAAAATAAACACATTTATTTCCTCTTAAAGTTTGCTGTCTTTGTGTTCACACCTGACAATTAAATTTACGATGCTTTAGTTGGGCTAGTCACTCATTTTGCGTGAAGTTATTTTTGTGTAGGTTTCTGCTTTTTAAATAAGTGAATTCGTAAATCCTTCAGATGTTTTGGCAAGGTTTTGTGATGAACCGGTCCATTAAGGTGTAAGGGGCTAGATTTGCAGTAGTGCTCAACAAGTCCTTCAGTTATTCCAGTATTTTATCACTTTTTACTCTTTTCTTTTATTCTCCTGTACAGCTTCATTTCATGCTTGTCCTTCTTTGATTGCTGTCATACCTTGTTCATTTGTCCTTTTGGTTTCAGAAACTTTCTTCTATTCCAGGTGCTTAATTTTCAAATTTGATGGTCCTTCTGTTTCTAATGCCTTTCTTCCTTAAAGCTTACCTGTTATTATGAATAATATATCCATAGATTTCTTCTCTGTTTAACATCAGTTATGGTGTGCTTCATTTTTTTATATTAAAAGCAATCAATTTTAGTCACAGGTACAAGCATGTCTGATCTCCTGAAGAACAGGAATATGAAGTCAGTATAAAACCAGAGGTTAATTTTATTTTTTTTATTATTGGCTAATTTTTTATAAAAAATTGAACTGAGTTTGCTGTCTGAATAAAGGTGTTCTGCTTTACCAGAAAAGAATAAGAAGGTATTGACAGCCATTTTCAGGACATACTGCTGCCTAGGAGAAACTGATGCAGCTGCCACAGGAGTATCTGTCAAGCAGACAGTCTGGGAACAGAGCAAGCTGCTCAAAAACAGCTTCTGAAATGTAAAAATGCAATTTAAAAAAATATATAAATGACTGTGCAACAGCTGTAAGGAATGATGCATGAGACCTCACGTTCACTATGTATTCCAAACATTAAAGAGAACAATATAATGTTAACAAAGAAACATGAAACCAGCATATATTTACACAGTATAGTCTTATTGCTGTGGTATTATATGCACAAGCTGTGCCAACAAAGGATTACAGAGAAAAGAATAAAAAGATTCTGTATCTCCTAATGTATTTTTCTGTATTTTTGTCTTCAACAGAGCATGTCAGTATTTTAATGGAAACACAATTTATAGAAAGAATATGGCTCCCAAATCTAACAGTTTCAATAAACTAAAACTTGTTCTCATTTAAAACAGTGATACAGCCCTTGGAGGACAGGATGAGACCTAGATTCATAGATCCATAGATAGAATGGATTTTGGTTTGGGTTGAATGGGAGCTTAAAGATTGTCTAGTTCCAACCCCCCTGCCGGGGCAGGGACACCTTCCACTAGACCAGGTTGCTCAAAGCCCTGTCCACGTAATTTTGATCAAGGTATTTTCCACAAACCTGGGCTGGAGAAAATCTCATCTGTCTTTCACTAACACGAGTCATATGCTTTTGTTTTCTGTATGGGGAGTGTAAAGATGTAATCTTGCAATTTATGAACAGGATACTGTTATTTTAGAAGTAAGAATGTTATTCATGTACCTCCCAGAGGAAAACAAATAATCTGCCTCTTTTCTGCTGTAGTTTTTACAGGAAGGTTATTGGTTTACTGGATAGAAATTGGAAAAGAATGTTTTACAGGTAGTTCAGAAATGCAGTATGTTTTATGCATTGCAGCAAGAAGAGACATGTCAATCCAGCTGCTAATATCAAACTATTATTGATTACATTAGCAGTCTTTGAATTATGCTGCAGATCTTGACACTGCTGGGTAACAGAGCAATCTCACAAGCATCAATGTGGAGCATGTTTTGCTTGTGTTTCAGTGAATGGCAGTGCTGTGGGGCAATACATTTCACAAAACTTTAGAAATGGAAAACTTAGGGTTTTAGTTTAACCAAGTCTCTGAAAGATACAGGTGGCTCCCAGGGGCAATCTAAAGTAGAGCTAGAATGGATCACTCTTTCAGGATGCCATCCTTCACCCTTGCCAAAACCATTGAAGATACAAGCTGATGCCCAGGGATGGACTTGAGCTGCGTTTCAGGTGTCACTGGATAAACCTCATTCTTTCACTACGCTTCATAGCAAAACCAAGATACCTGCAGCATCCTGCTATAAACCTGTTAAGACCTAGACAGCTTGTGCAGAACATCTAATAATACCTGTTTCTTGGTATTCTCATGTGGTTCACACTGTGCAAAAACATTCACCTTGGGGTTCCTCTGACAATGGCTGTGGTGTCAGACACTGCAAGGGCTGATCAGTTTTGTAAGTAGTCTGGTTTTTGCATGCAGTTGAATTTATAACTGAGGATAAACTATTGAGATCTTGGCAGTGGTTTGAACCTGTTCCTGGTTTTGCCAACTGAAGTGTAATTTAGAAGCAAACAAAATCTGCGTGGAAGGGCATAGTGCCAGGTTCTTGTAAAGAAGGAAGCGGTGGACCTCCAAGCTATCTCCTTTTGACAATTACAGTATCTCAAATTATCACATTCACTTGAATCATTAGTACTTTAGGCACATAATTTCTAGCATAGCAGAGTATGCAATCCAGGCCTAGCTTTCCTCCTTTCTGGGTATTAGCCACTAAATAAATATACTGTACTTGCTTTACTTGGGAGAAAGGAGATAGACCGTGTTTCAGCATGGATGCAAATTGAAGTGCTGCCCTGTACTCTAACTCATCTGCCACAGATTTTGCAAAATGACATTTTTTGACTGTATATGCGTCATCTAGATTAGTACAAAACCGTGTTCTGATTCTAAGAATACAACATATCCCATGATCTCTCTTTAATAAATCACAAAAGATTTATCAAAAAGTGTATGAAAGTAATTGCTTTGGTTACTTTTG